AAAGAAGCAAACACACACACACACACACACAAACATGCACCTTGCTTTAAATGAACATCTTTTAAGGAAGTCATTTCACACATTTCTATTGAAATTATAGGAGGTCTATATATAGTATATAATACATATAAAGGGTAAAGTGAACATACAAGGAAACAAGAAAGTGGGAACTGTCCTCACTCATGTTTTGATCCCCCCCCCCCCGGATACCTTATGCATTTATTGTAATTTCTGAAAAAGCCAATGGAGTGTGGTTTGTGTGCATGAGTGGTTCCTTGTTCATGAATATGCACATATAGGCAGTTCTAAGGAGAATAAGTGAACCAGCTTAGTTGTGATTTATAAATTGTAAATGTATTACTGGGCAAACTATGCTATGGATAAAGCTATAAATCCAGGCTATCAAAATTCTGGACCGAAGTATAATGATAGGCCTACATTGAAAGTAAACCCAGGGAAATCCAGTTGAACTATGCTATCAAATTAATGAAATAAATTACATGGAATTAAATAGTATCCTTCCTTAACAGAATAAATGATCATGAAAACTGTGCTTCACTACTCATTGGGGCATTTGGTGGTGGCATTGTTAATTGCAAAGATGAAAAAGGAAGGTAAGAATTACTTTGATGAAATGTGTAATTTATTAATTTGTTTTATTTATAATGAATTATAGTTCCCTTTAAAAATGGAGGCAGCGGTTTGTATTCATTTATTAATGGAGAAGCCTTTTATCTGTCAGTAAAATGGAACAAAAAAACATTTTAACAATGTTTCCTCCCTATTGAGTACCCCATGGCCCACTTACCTCACCCAACTCTTCAAAGAGGATTACTAGAGGAAAAGGAACAGGAGTCTCCATTCCACTAATAAAGATTTCCACCAAGTCAAAGACATTTGCTTCAGTGAAGAAATACCAAATTGATTGTATTTAATGGGTTGAAATAAAACTAGTGAAACTTTAAAAAGCTGGGGTTACCAATTTCATAGATGAATAGAAGGGAGAGGAAGGGAAGGATAAAAATTATTGGCCAAGTGTGATTGGACACAGGAATGTGTCTCCAGTGCATAACCTCTCAATCATACAACAAAGTGATAGGGCATAGATCATAAATCATAATTACAATCATTAATCATAAGCAGAGGTGGGATTCAAGTAATTTAACAACCGGTTCTCTGCCCTAATGACTTCTTCCAACAACCAGTTTGCCAAACTGCTCAGAAAGTTAATAAGCAGTTCTGAAGTGGTGCAAACTGATTGAATCCCACCACTTGATCATAAGATACAAACAACAAGTAATAAATCATAAGATACCAATAGGAGAAGATAGTAGGAAAGATGAAAAGATGAGAAAGAATGAAAAATGAAAATATGAGAGGATGAGAAGGATAATAGTTATTACTTATAAAGCCCTTCATGGTATTGGACCTGGGTACTTGAGAGACCGCCTGCTGCCAATTACCTCCCAAAGACCCATTAGATCGCAC